GGAACATAAGGCTCATCACACAGTACAGGACTCATCACGGAACATAAGGCTCATCACACAGTACAGGACTCATCACGGAGCATAAGGCTCATCACACAGTACAGGACTCATCACGGAGTATAAGGCTCATCACACAGTACAGGACTCATCACGGAACATAAGGCTCATCACACAGTACAGGACTCATCACGGAACATAAGGCTCATCACACAGTACAGGACTCATCACGTAGCATAAGGCTCATCACACAATACAGGACTCATCATGGAACATAAGGCTCATCACACAGTACAGGACTCATCATGGAACATAAGGCTCATCACACCGTACAGAACTCATCATGGGACATAAGGCTGATCACACAGTACAGGACTCAACATGGAGCATAAGGCTGATCACACAGTACAGGACTCATCACGGAACATAAGGCTCATCACACAGTACAGGACTCATCACAGAGCATGGTCAGAGATTGCAGGCTAATTCCAATGCAAATAGATGGACAGACACATCTGTGACTCTCTTGTTTGCTGTGTTAATATCCATCCTAATAAACAAATTTTTATACCTAATTTTACACTAACTTCCACCTTTTAGTCTACATGCTTCACAGAACCTTCCAGCACATAGAAATAGCAGAGTGTCAGAGTAGAGCTGAAAGCCTGGACACAGTCTTGCTCGTGTAGACCACTTTCTGCCAAGCACCCAGTTACCTACGTGACTCATGAGGGGAATGTAAACTGTCCACAGATCCGGTAAAGCGCTGATGACCTCAGAGCAAATCCCACCTCCCCTCCCACTGCCATCCGGGAGCAAACACTCGGGCATGCTTTAAAAGCAGCGAACAACTATGATACAAAGTGAATCACACTTACAAGCACAAACATTTTCCCTGCCCTCTGTTAGTACAGCGCTCAGAGTGTTTGGGAAGACAAACGCGCCTTGACCTGTGCTTTGAATCCTGCACCTCTTGCTCTCCTAATCTACTGAGGATATTTACAAAGAAAAGATTACGATGGAATGTCTGCCAAAAGGCCTTGACTATTTATTTAAACCGCCTTAATGCAGCCCATGTAGGAGATCTAAGGCCAGCAATCCGTCCGTCTTTGTCATTATGCTTTATTGTGTCTCTCACGCTCTGATTTTCCTGCTTTATTACTTAGGTTTCTGCCTATCTTCCCTTGCATCAGCATTCAAGTCATTTATGGCCGACTGCGCTCACATGGTTAGCATCTTCAGGAAAGCGGGGGGGCGGGGGGTGCCACTGAACCGTGCACCCCTGAAGTTCTTTTTTTCCCAAAATAATGCCTCCCCCCCACTGCCGGCTGGCCTTTTCTGTTTGATATTTTGCCGCCAACTGGGGTGGGGGCCCTTGGTATATTTTTCAGGCCACCACCACTCATTAGCCCAGCCCACCAGGAAATTTCCAGAACTTCCCGATGGCCAGTCCGCATGTTTGTGTACCAGGCTGAAAACATTCCTATTCCAAAGTGCTAATCAATGTCGATACTTTAACGTTTATTTTTTACAGCCTTTTACTTACAGCTTTTTATTACACATTTTTTAATTGTCTTAAAATTGTCTTTTAATCTTCCACTTAATGATCGCTATTATTTGATCTTATTTTATTTAAACCACTTTGAATGACCGCTGTGTTAGAAAATGTGCCGAATAAACAAACTTGCCTCGCCTTGTACACATGTGCAAAGTGTGAACAAACGAACTATCTGTGCCAGAACTATCTATGTGGAGAGCTTCATAAAAATAATTGCATCGAGCTGAATTGAATTAGCTTGCAATGTAATGAAAGCTACCCGCATTCATTAGTTTTAGCGTCAGGCACTGAAATGCACCGTTCCACCCTTACCCTGATTGCACAGTTGCGATCTTATTGCTTAATAATTTTGTGTTTTTTTGGACTGTTCTTTGGCACTAAATGCCTGGGTTGTTTTCTTTGCCGTGGTGTTTTCACCCACATTTGGAAAAACTCGCGGCTACTCCGATTCAGACATCTCTGACAAGACCAGACAAGACCTCAGATGCCAGCAGCGGACGGGCGGCTTACTTTCAGTCATACTTCCTGGTATTCCCTCTCTTTTTCCCTTCTCTTCTCTGCTCCTCCTCTCAGACTGTCCTCATATGCCTTGCTTCATTTAGATAAAAATAGATATTATAGCCAGAGATTCTAACGGCAGCTATCCATGTGTGTAAATAAAACTTTAGATATCCCTGCTGCCAAGAACATGCTGACGCGGACGTCTCCTGCATCCCTAGCACGTCCGGCACAGTGCGTCACTAAATACGAACGCAAATTCCAACCCTTTCGTAAGGTGTTTTCCGGGTAAGAATCTGAGTTTCATCTCTCTCTCGGAGGTCTCATGTGCATTTTCTGACAATAATTATCCTGCTACTGTTTGCACAAGCCTGCTGCAAAACCGTTTACGCGTGTAATCTGAATCATGACTAGGAAAAAAGCTAGGTGAGGCATTTTTGTCACAACTAAGCTTTTAAAAGAAAGAAGCATAACGTGGTCTGTCTATCACCAGACCTCCCCTCCCCCAAATACGATGAGGTTCAGTAATGTCCATCTTCCATATACTTATCAAATACAATGGTCAGGGCATGGGGACTGGGCTGGAGCCTCTAGTTGGCAACATAGGGCACGAGACAGGGGACACCCAGGACAGAATGCCAGCCCATCACAGGGCACGAGACAGGGGACACCCAGGACAGAATGCCAGTCCATCACAGGGCACGAGACAGGGGACACCCAGGACAGAATGCCAGTCCATCACAGGGCACGAGACAGGGGACACCGAGGACAGGATCCCAGTCCATCACAGGGCTCGAGACAGGGGACACCCAGGACAGAATGCCAGTCCATCACAGGGCATGGGTAGACATTCATGCATAATCGCCAATTTAGGGATGTTTCATGCACGTGACAGCACGTCTTTAGGCTGCAGGAGCAAAGAGCACAACAGGGTGGAGAATCTGCAAACTCCAGAGACTGAGGGCAGGGTGGCATCAAACGGCCAAGCCTGCAGTGACGGTGCTGCTCTCAGGCTCGGTAATAAGCTGCAGTGTTTGGTCAGGTTCCCCACAATCGCCTAACAGGTCTGATTGGTGTAGGATTGTGATTGTCATGCTGCCCATTTCATCTCCGATCCTTGTAGGTCCCCGAGGTCATCAGTACACTGAAGCAGGTGGGAAAGAATGTCCCGGAAGCCGAGGCCCGTGTCAGAGGGGCACCTGCCAAGAAGTTTGAAGTCCGATTCCGGGGGCGTGTCAGCGTAGAGAACAATAACACCCCTCCATCTCTCATCGATGAGTGTGTCGATTGGCTAGCACTGGACGATGGGCCGGACTTAAGGGCCAAGCCCTTACCCAGGACGAGTGACCACGCCGTGGACTTGGCCAAAATGGCCACCCAGATCCGGCTCCTCTTCCAGCCAACCTCCAGGGCGGCACCGGAGAAAGCGGCTTGGGTGAGGGAGGCCGGGACTACAGGATCTCGTCTGTCCAGCCCACCCAGAGGACAGGAAACAGCACAGCACCATCAGGGTGACACCAGCAGGTCTGGGTTGAGCCAACCCACCCTCACCGTGGAAAACCGCCCAGTGCTACTCATGGTAGGTCGGCATCCTCACACACAAAAACGAGTAATAACATCTAAGCTACACTTCCCCTCGTAAATTCAAACATCCAGAGAATTTAAATGAATAAAGGGACAGGTTTCTAATGCTGGTTGTCATTGGGAAGGGCTCTGGTCCAATGAACACCCAGCAGTCATGTGTGGGGTGATGCGATTGGCTCTGTGGTAAATGAATAGAGGGCGAGGTATGTAATGTTGGTTGCCAGTGGCGACGACTTTCGTCCAATGAACGCCCAGCAGTTCTGTGTGGGGTTATGCAATTAGCTCTGTTAACTGGAGGCAGAGCCATCGGGGATGTGACAACCTGAAGCTCGCAGCAGCTATCCGCTGCTTCCTGGGACGTGCACAGTCCCTGCCAGTTCAGACACACAATCTGGGGCTGAGTAATATCTGGATAAAACCTGGTTCCATCGTATAATGCCTGCTTTGAATGGCTCGAATTTGTTTATCTTCCCTGTGAGGTAAACTGGGACTCTACATTTTAACGGCTCACATTAATTGGCCCCACCAACATTCCTGTTGGATTCCAGATCTTAAAAGTCTCAGATTCTGGCAGGGGTCGGTCTCTGCTTTCCCAGAAATCCTCAGTGCAGGTTCTGTGGCCACATACACTGGGAAATAGCAGGCATTGCTAGCCAGGTAACAGCTGTGTCCATGTGTTTGGAACCAGGAGTCACTGGCCTGCTAAGCTAGGCATGGTGGGTTTGAGTCCCAGCAGCAGGAACACTTTCCCTGTATGTGGATCTGTGGGTTAGGCCTTTGGGCCTCTGATTGGAAGGTCTCTGGTTCGAATCCCATGCTTAGCAGAATAGCTGTATCTTCATTGGGACCTTGAGCAAGGCCCTTAGCCCCCTGAAAAATGCTCTAGGGGGCCTGGACAAAGGGGGCTGACCCTATACTCAGACCTCAAGCTTCACTCTCGTCTGTGTGTGTTTTACAAAGGAGAGTATGATGGGATTTGTGAAAGCCACGAAATCTTAATGTACCTGTCCTCACAGTTTTACAAATGGTAACTAAAGCTTAATTTCACTTTGCGTTATTGTTAATGTGCATTAGGAGGTGTGTGTGTATATAACCACTTCCGATAGACGTGAAGGAATGACTCCCCCCAGGAAAACATAGGCATCCTCAAGGATGTTTAGATAAGTATCCGGTCTTGTGCCTGAGCTGATTTACTCCTCTGTGTTTCTCCTGGGGGAGGACCGAGAGCGTGGCGAAGCATAAATGTGAGATGGTGTATTTGTTCACTGCTGAACAAACACTCGGGTTCCTACGCTGCTCATGGTGCAGAATCTCCTGTTTTCCCAGTTTGCTGTTTCCTTTATTGCTCACTTTCACACTCTTTTCACTGTTATTCGCCAATAGCAATGCTTACACCTTACACTTCCCATGCCTTCCTCCTTAATATACATCATGCAAGACCAACTGCCACAATGGAAGCATATTCTACCTGAATTTCCTTCCTCTTTAGCCCATATAAGCAAGGAGCTGATTTGTTCATCAAGATGCCTTTTTGCTTTTACATCCATGCTATCTCTGCACTTACACAGATTAGTCCCCCAGGCTATCTTCATTCAGGCCCTAGAGCTGCCTTCATTCAGGCCCCCATGCTGTCTTCATTCATGTCCCCATGCTGTCTTCATTCAGGCCCTAGAGTTGCCTTCATTCAGGTCCCCATGCTGTCTTCATTCAGGCCCTAGAGCTGCCTTCATTCAGGTCCCCATGCTGTCTTCATTCGGGCCCCCATGCTGTCTTCATTCAGGCCCTAGAGCTGCCTTCATTCAGGTCCCCATGCTGTCTTCATTCNTTCAGGTCCCCATGCTGTCTTCATTCGGGCCCCCATGCTGTCTTCATTCAGGCCCTAGAGCTGCCTTCATTCAGGTCCCCATGCTGTCTTCATTCTGGCCCCCATGCTGTCTTCATTCGGGCCCCCATGCTCTCTTCATTCGGGCCCCCATGCTGTCTTCATTCGGGTTCCCATGCTGTCTTCATTCGGGTTCCCATGCTGTCTTCATTCGGGTCCCCATGCTGTCTTCATTCGGGTCCCCATGCTGTCTTCATTCAGGCCCCAGAGCTGTCTTCATTCAGGCCCCAGAGCTGTCTTCATTCAGGTCCCCATGCTGTCTTCATTCAGGCCCCCGAGTTGTCTTCATTCAGGTCCCCAAGCTGTCTTCATTCAGGCCCCCATGCTTTCTTCATTCAGGTCCCCGAGCTGTCTTCATTCAGGTCCCTGTGCTGTCTTCATTCAGGCCCCCATGCTGTCTTCATTCAGGTCCCCGAGCTGTCTTCATTCAGGCCCCCAGGCTGTCTTCATTCAGGCCCTAGAGCTGTCTTCATTCAGGTCCCTGAGCTGTCTTCATTCAGGCCCCCAGGCTGTCTTCATTCAGGCCCTAGAGCTGTCTTCATTCAGGTCCCCGAGCTGTCTTCATTCAGGCCCTAGAGCTGTCTTCATTTATTCCTCTGTTCATTCGATTAAAAAGCTCATCTTCATGGTGTTAACACACAGCAGTGTTCACCCAGGCTAAATGGTTCTGGAAAATCCAGATAGATGGGGAATTAAAGCCTAAATCCAATTTAATCATTTAGGGTTGCAAATGAATGAAAAGAAGCCGCTTCAGCCCACAAGGGTGGGGGAGAAACTCCAGGCCTGAATCATATCCGCCAGGGATCTGCTCGTGAGATATTATGTCTATTAAAATACGGAGCCTCAAAAGTTACAGAAATCAGGTTTGTATAAACTAACATTCTGTCATAGTTTTGCTGCACATGAACAGGAAACCACACTGGCTACGTGAACGTGGTGGATGCAGCTCTCTCAGGCCAAGTTTGGAGGTCCTAACCTCCTCCTGTGTAATTATCTTACCCTGATGTATTATTATTTATCTATTTATTGTTTGGTATATTCTGTATCTATGCCACACTTTTATGCTGCTCTGTTACTTACATACACATTGCATTATCTATAGAGACCCCTGTGTGCAGCCCCATTTCACACCATCCTGAGCTTTGTACTTTAAGTTCACTGAAAGCCCTCTTTGCTGCCTGTATGTTGCAATGTAGTCCTGTGGGAACATTATTTTGTACCACTGTATACCTGAATATGGATGGTATGACAATAAAGGCCATTTGACTTGACTTGACTTGACTTAACTTGACTGTTGCCAGTCTGGGTAAATAACTATGCAGGATGAAGTCAGTGCCTGTTCTTGGTCATGTTTTTAAGAATCAAAGTGCGTTCCGTCGCTGTTTTAAAAGTCAAGCTCTATTTGAATCAAAAATGTGACATGACACAGTTTTTGTGTTTTTCTGACCATGAATGTGCACTTACGTAAGTGAAGTGCGTGAATCTGGCATTAGGAAGTATGAATGTGTTTTTTTCTCTTTTTCGCAGATTGGCCAATCTCAGATTTATATCATGAATCCTGACACCAAGAAAGTGGCCATTGAAAGGAACTTCAGTGAAATGTCCTTCTGCTCTCAGGTCTGTCCATTTGCAGTTTAGTGAAATGTCATTCTCTTCCCATGTCTGTCCACTAAAATTCAGTGAAATGTCCTTCTGCTCTCAAACTGGTCCATTTCAGTTCAGTGAAATGTCCTTCTGCTTGCAGACCGGTAAATTTCAGTTCAGTTCCGCAGCAAAGCATCATTCAATTTTGTCAAAGTGCAACATAAAAATATATACTACTGTATATACTACTGGAGTATTGCATCTATGAAAGTAGAGTTTTCTCGCTTTCAAATGGCTTGTGAATGTTGGTGAAGCAGTAAGATGCTGGTTAAAGAACAGGGCAAATGATATCCCTACAGGGTATCAACTGTTGTACCTTAGGACAGTGTCCAGGGATGTCTAACCTAAACCATATTTAAACCATGATGACAACCAGGAGTTCCTGTACTGACAAAAAAACACAACTTGTTTTCCTTTAGCGGGGACTGTTTTGCTGATATGAAAAATTGAACTTCCCCTTTAAACCCAGCAGACAATGCAGGTGCCTCATTTGTCCTTGTAGTATAAATAGGAAAACACAGCTTCATAAAAAAAAAAATCACATGCTAAGCACATAATACAGGATGTATTCTTAAAAAGAGGTATTAAAAACAAGCTGTCGCTCTTTATTAAGGAAATGAAAACAGTGGACAGATATAAAGCTCTGATAACAGAATTTTGTGAAGAATGTAGCAGGTTTATAGCAGTTTAGAGCAGATCGGGAGACGCTGTGGAAGTGCAGGCAGAGGCCACAGAGATAGCAACCATGGAAGGGACATCTTCCCAAGGTCTGATTTAATATGGACTGTAATGTATTTCATAGAATATGGAAAGAGACAAATGGTTTTTAATGAAAGCTGTGATTTTCATTACATGATTCTATCCAGAACCATATACTTCTTGTTTCAATTAAGATGGAATTAGACATAAATATATTTAAGAAATAACTGGAGGATCAGACGGCAGCATGCAGGTAACGGGAAATGACCCCCTCGCCAGAGGGGGGTCCAGTTTTTAAAGCGAGGAAAACATACAGTCCACAGTTCGGTGGTTCTGGTTAGGAAGCCCTGGACCATGCGACCTGCTGCTTCAGTCCTTCCTCTGAGTAACAGGGAAGCTGGCACAGGTGCGGGAAGAGCCCTGTGGTGACTGACCTGGATCTGTACTCGCCCCCCCCCCCCCAGGGAATCAGACACCTGGATCACTTTGGGTTTGTCTGCAGGGAGCCCCAGGAGAGCGCCACCTGGCAGCGGGTCTGCTACATCTTTCAGTGTCATGCAGGCCCCCTGGTGAGAATGAGGGCTGGCCCTGGGTGCCCGTCTGTCTAACCCCCACCACACCAAATTAATGTGTTATAATTAATGCATATATAGTATTTTTTTTCTCACTTGTTTACTAAATTGTCTTACTCTAATTTCTCATCCTCATGCCTTGTGTAGGTGGATGAGATCATGCTCACTTTGAGACAGGCATTTTCTGTAGCCGCCTCGCCTCCAAGTCCGAGGACCCAAAGCCTTTCATGCTGCCCTATGCAGCAAATGCACCAGCTCTGTGAGAGGATACAAGGTCAGATTACTAAATGCAGTACTTTCCATGGTTTTTTTGAAAAGCACCTTTCAATCATAATACAAAATAGCTCTTACATTTTTCAAAATAGGTATCCCAATAATTATTTTATTCCTTAAGATATCACACATAACTCCAATCATATACACATTATTTAGCATATTTGGCCCTTCGCTAATTAATAGCGAGTCAGATACTAAGCTGCACTAGCAGCTCTTTCTTGTTCTTCGATGACGCGTTGCGTGAGGATGGACCCACATCTTCCAGCTTACTGAGGCCACGCAGTAACCTTGCTTGTGAGAGCCGATAGAGACCAACATGGAATCTGAAAGAGCACCATTCTGACTCCAGCCACCACACTCCTCTGCGTCTAGGTCTCCAACCGACGAGCGCCAAGCTAGAACTTCAGAAGCACATAGCTACCCTGGACAGCAATCATCAGGCATCCATTCTAGAGAGTGCCCTGGTAGGTCCATCATCACTGTCATGAGACCTAAAAACCACTGTCGTGACCTAAAAACCACTGTCATGTGACCTTTAAAAGCCACTGTCATGTGACCTTCATCCCCATCCTGCTGTTGTTGTCACCTCTCGCATACCGAGATGTTCTGTAAGATGACAGTAACGGTGGTGTAAAAATCCGTGCCTCACTCACTAGATTATAAACCTGTGTTATTGCTAGTTCCATGGCTCGGAAATTGATGTACTGCAGTGACTGCAGTGTCAGCATGAAACCCTCTTTAACTCTGTTTAACATGTCTGCACTTAATTAAGATTACATTTAAAATTTTGGTTATAACATCAAGAAGTCAGCAGTTATCTTTTTTTTCGATTTAGGCCTACTTTAATCATTATTATTTGATGTATTTATATCAAATTGGCATTATTACATAACAGTTTTAATGGGATCAGTAGTCTTTAAACAACAAAGGGTTAGATATCCAGTATATTGTTAAAATGTGGTTGGTTTTACATCTTTATGAAACCATACAGCATGTGAACGAATAGTTTTTATGAGCAACAGCGACCTCTAGTGGCGGTTAACGTTAACCTCTAAGAAGTTGCATTTTCTCTCGCTACTCAAAGGCTGAGTTCAGTTGTGCATATTTAGATTCAGGTGTGAGTTCTGCGCATTACCGTTAATTTCTCTGTTTCTGGGTATGTATGTGCGTCCTTGTATGTCTGCAGAGGTCAAAACCCAAAACAGCGCAGGAGGAGACTGAAGTTCTGCTATCCAGCCTGCGCCGTTTTTATGAAGAGCGACAGAAAGCCCACCAGAACAACCCCAACGGCGTTCTCACACAGGTGTGGGCCGAAATGCTGGAGGGCCGTGTCCGTGAGGCTTGAGCGCTGCGTTATGTAACTGCACTGGGCTTTCAGCATTAATACATGAATCATTAATAGCGGCAAGGATTTTCAGGTATCCTCACTGCATAATAAAGGCTAAGTTTCTCAGAGAAAAAAAGTAGTGTATTCTCATTATTCCTTATTTAGATTGTCTTCTTTCCGTCAATGGATGCACTCTGCAGTTTCACTGGTGTGGTGGCATCAAACACGGCTATATCTAACTGGCTTCCGGCTTCTGTTCGATGCTCTCGAGGTTCCCCGTTAAAGTATGCGCTCAGATCTCAGACAGCTGGCATACGAAGACGCCAAAGTCAATGTCACAACTCGTGTCCAGTTTGCAGAGGCCATGGGAGGCGCTGTGAAGGCTCGCGGGAGGAGCAGCGAGGAGCAGGGCGAGCGGCAGAAACGGCCCCTAAGTGAACCTCTGGAGATCCTGTGGAAGGTGGGTAAACCTCTTAGGGATGCAGCCTTTTTAATGGGAACTTATACAGCAAGTTTCTCCGAAAGGATACACCCACTAACTCAGCCCAGCCCCTTCCTGCTGCAGCTAATTATGTGCTTGCAGTTTAGTCTATTAATTTAACTAGCCTGAGGAAGAGAACAATATATGGAGTAGTTCCACATGTTCAGTGAGAGTTTTGGGAACAACTGGTTTTGGCTGGTTTGGTTTTAGCCGAGACAGTTGCTTTTGTAGCATGTTAGCATTAGGAGCAGCGCCTTCTCCCCTCCGTGTATCCGTGCGCTCCGCAGGGCGGCGCCTCCTCACCGGTGTGTATCCGTGCGATCCGCAGGGCGGCGCCTCCTCCCCTCCGTGTATCCGTGCGCTCCGCAGGGCGGCGCCTCCTCCCCTCCGTGTATCCATGTGCTCCGCAGGGCAGCAGCACTTCCTGGGCCACCGTCTGCAGCAGCGGAGAGGGCGAGTCAGTCAGCTGCCCCACCAACCCCCCCACCTATGCCAACCCATCCGGTTCTGGCGGTTTCTCCAGCCCCACCCAGCTTCAGTTTAGCTTAGTGGCACCAGCAGAGCCACCTGTCCGCCCGCTGAGAGCGATGTGCTCATATAGCCGTTAGCGCGTCGTTTGGCAGAAATAACCCTTCTGACATGTCCATGATTAATATTTAATGCAAGTCCTTGATTAAGCTAAATACAACTCTGTAAATATTAAGGAGCCACAGCTACATTCTTCTGTGTAAAAGCCTCCATGTTGGTCTCTAGCATGGTTCTTCTCTGGTTCTCATTAATGAAGGGCTCCTTCCTTGCTTTATGTGATTTCAGTCCTGCTTCTAGGAGTCCCTTACAAACAGCAGTGCACTTCACACCACTTAATATTTTGCATTCTTTTTGAAGGTCACTTGCGGTCATTCTCCGATTTATGAGGCACTGTCAGATAAGTTGATGGTCATCTCTGGCATTACAAATTTGACTCTGCCCTCTACCTGGCTGATTATTGCCAGTGTCTCCTGCTTCTTGGGCACTGCGGTCATAAAAATGTTGAGCCTGGAAGCAATCCGCCACCCAATGCAGCCTTGTGCCAGCAGATCCAGAATTATACCAGCATTTAACAATGCAGATTCTTAAAAAATATTAAGTGGTCTCTTAATTTTTCCAGGCCAATAGGGGGCGCCAAAACCTTAGTTGGAGGGATGGTAGCCACTAGCTACATAGGGATTACGGTAAATGAGGATGTAATGTTAACAGGCTGGATCTAATTGCCTAAAATCATAAGATATTCTTATGTTCGTCTTTTGTCTGTCCTAGGAGAATGCACTGGAAGGGTCCCTGAGTCTCCAGGCCCTCTGCCCCTACTCTTCCAAGGATGGCCCCACCCAGAAATGCTCCCCATCCAGAGGCTACCAGCAGCTGGGGTTTCGGCATCGGGCCAGCACCTACAGCCCTCCAGCTCAGCGCCACAATCCCAGATCCGATGCCTGGCAGGAATCTGTCACGTCGGTCAAACCCAGACTGAGGCACAACTCTGTGAGCACCGATAGCCCCTGTCATGGCTGGTAAGATCCCATGGCGCAGGTAGTGACCCATTTTTGTAATGCTGTGCCTTTGCTGTGCGTGGTTTTCAGACTGAGATGCTTGTGTATAGCTAGTAGAAATATAAATACAAGGAGGTACATATTTAACTGATCAGAGCAGTTATAATAGTGCAAGGTAAACCCAAAATATCTAAAAACGTAAATGAAGCATAAGGAAATAAAATCTTATTATCAACAAATATTATTAATATCAGTAGGTGAATTTGCTAGTAAGTGAACTTTTGCATAGGGAATTCACTCTTGACTAACAGCAAAATGTAAAGATATCTAGCGACCTCTGGTGGCGGAATGGTATATGTTACTTTGGGGTGGGATTTGTTCATTGTCGATGGGTTAATGGGTTAGGCAAACAGCCTGCCTCTGAAATACAATAAAACCATAATCTTGAAGTGAGTTACAAACTCAGAAAAAACCATACACAAAATAAATTAAAAAGTAATAATAATGTATGCCTGGACAAATGAAGAAACCCAACCGCCCTAAGCTGTGGAGCCGCATTCCCCTAACCCTACTTTTCCCACTGGAAATGTATATTTTAGTACGCAGTCTTGGCAAATGCAAGCTTTTTAAGGGTCCCCTTGTAACAGGGCTGATTGCGAATGCGTTCTGAACGGTTGTTCATAACTTAAAATGTTTGTGAGTTGTTATTCAACATCATTTTAAGGGTATACGCAAGTACATAGAACGTGGATGCTGGGAGTACGTACGCTACGCTGCTGCGCGGCGGGAGTAGCGGCCAGAAGTCGTATTAGGCGGAATTGGCGCGCAGGAAAATAAAATTGATGTTGCGGACAGGAAACGGGAGCCCAAGGAACACAATTTGTACTTACAGTCCTTTTCGTTCGTATGTCTGAAAGTTCGTAATGTGAAAGTTCGTAAGTAGAGGAGCGTCTGTACAGTGTTATATATTTCAAGTATAAAGTAGACCCTGTAGGGTTTGACATGCACCTTTGCTGAGTAGCTCTCTTTGTTAGTGGAGAGGTGACCGTCCTGTCCGTATTCCCAGCGATGTGCCGGATCCTTCTGGCCTGGACACCGTCGGGGACTCTGATGACAGCTCTCAGCATCACGCCGTACCCTGGAGGCAGAAGATCTTCCTTAGGGTGGCTGCATCCCAGAGGCCCTGTAGCGCCCCTCCTAGATATACTGGTAAGTCCAGACGGGTATCAGAAGTTGGTAGAGCCGGGCGTGGATGGGCGGGGCCGGAAAGCACCGTCTGCTGAGGATGCGGTGCCTTCGGGTTCCATGCGTGCAGGGAGTGGTGTCTTCCCAGGCGGATCGGGTGGTAAGGTGTGCCCAAAAAAAGATGACTTTCACAGATGGAAGCCGGTGTGAGGGCATGCGGGTTTTCCGCGGGACGGGGAACGGGACTCGGCGTGGGTGCTGGACCTGCACAATGCGCCGCGTTGTCCGTGCCGGTGCGACTCGCCGTCAGCGAGGTAGCGGCCGCGACCAAAACCGCGCCACAAAGCATTCCTGAGAGGTGAACGCGGGGTCATCTTAACACAGGCAGGCAATAAATGCTCCAGTGACCGCGATTGGAAAGCACTGGTTATTTGTGCTAACCTGCACATGCAAATAAGGCGTTTCAGGAAGCATACCTTTTATTATGCTATGCAATAATAATAGTAATAATAATAATGTTATCAATATTGAAAAGTAAGATGTAATTTTATCATGCAACACATACAGGTCTGTAAGAAAGGTTTCTCTTTGACAGAGTAACACAAACAATAAAAAAAAAAAAAAAAAAAAACAAGCTGTCATGGTCATATTGACATTCAATGGGCGGCTTTTAACGATGTGATACTGAGGGCACTTTTACTGTAACAACATATCACACAGTGTCTGTTTGCTGAGCTGCATTTACAGAAAACTGTCATTCACCTCCCTGCTCAGACACGTTACTGGTTTAGCCTCTGGTGGCAGCTCTTGTCTGCCCCTGGAACTGCGTTTTGTTACAACTTTTGTGTAATTTTGATTCTGTTATGATCCAGGTGATTTGTGTCGCAGCCAGACCGTAATTTCGATTCATCCCACATTTACAGTGTGTTTAGCATTTCTGAGTGCGCCTCTCTACTCTTAAAATTGGAGGTTTTGGGATTTTTCTGTTGTTTGACAGTCCCTGTGGCTACTGTGCCCCTCCCGCTGGACGTGAAAGGGCTCACCTGCAACTTTTATTGATTCTCAGCTGAAGGCCAAATCGACTCCACCCTCACAGGCGGCTGTAACTCTGTATTCCTCTAAGACGTATAAAGTGACGTGCGATTATGTGGATTATCGCAGAGAAAGGCGAGGGCTTATTTAGCATTAGCTGCGTAGATTTGCAGCAGCATTAGAACTGATCTTTAATTACACCGGTGCCAGAGGTATAAAAGAGAAATTGTCGACTCTGAGTGAGACACACCCTGTCCTGCCTCAGAGATCTTGTTGCCTGGGGTCCGACGGACCTGCCTCCCCATACAGGACCCGGATCGCTAACTGCGGACAGCTGTGTGACTGAGCGATGGGCAGAGGCTGGGTGTGCCAGTCGAGCCCAAACAAAGCCAAACCCCAGAACAAAAGCACAGCATCTAAATCCTGCAGAAGAAAGGCTCTGTGTGGGTGTAGTGGTATCTCTCTTCTTTGCCTGCTTCAGAAGAACTTGTGTAAGGGGTGTAAGTCATGTTAATAAGGATCCGTGTATTTCAGCCCAGTCTCTGTCCAGTTTTTACACTGGTTGAGAAATTATTTTAAGTCACCGAACAAGGTGCGATTGTCGTCGAGTTGAACAAATTCATGCGTATATTTTGGAATGTTTATTGCAAATACAGGGGTGATTTGAGGAGAGGTTTTAAATTGACACACTCTGATGGTATGAAAACATCAACATAATTTAAAGATAATTTTCTTTGGCAGCGTGAGACTTTTGCACAGGACTGGACTTGTGGTGGCAGTTTACGTTTTGTTCACTGAGCTGTTTACAAGTATTTTGACTTAAGTCTTAATAACCGTTGATTGTAATATTTGTAAGGAATGCACAGATTAGTCCAGAATTTAATCCAACATTCACACAAACACACATACACAGACACACACAGATTTTCCATAACTCAACCAAGACACACATGCTTGCCTGTGAACACACAGACTGTTTTTTGCTTAATAAATCTGCTTTTGGATCCTTGGTTTTGCTGAAGCCCACGCCTGTTTTTTCACGTTTCAGAATTCCTCTTCGTGTTTCGGATGTGTACGTGTCTGCCTGGTGATTCCCGGCAAGCCCTGGCCTGCTGCTCACGCCGCAGCGTGGTACTAAAGAGGCGCAGAGCTGTTAATCTCTAGCAAGCTCTGCCACGGACCAGAAACTAAACGCTTGCTAGAGAGGACTGTGTCGCTATAGCATCGCGCTATATGCTGTCTGCACAGAAGTTAGCGTTAGCGTGTGGTAATGACTTTCTGCTTCACGCTTCTCTGCTCTTCCTGGCCGTCTGAATGGAGATGGTTTTTAATCTCTGTGCTGTGTACTGTGGCACCATGGCAAGGCTCAGGTTCCAAGAATACTCCTGGGACCAGGGGCAAAGGGTGAAGGTGTGGGCAGTGTGGCTTAGTAGATTGCTGTTTTGTGCCTGTGATCGGAAGGTTGCCGGTTTGAATCCCTGTGTTGGCAGAGTGATGTCACCTTCGGGCCCTTGAGCAGGGCCCTTAACCCCCAGCGGCTCCAGGGACAGACTCACCCTGCTGCGTTCGCTGAAATAATAAAAATGTAAATGAATGTTTAGGTTTCTGCTGGGAGCGCTCATTCCTACCTACACTCCAAAAGCATGAGAATGGACAGTGGGCATTTTATACATATATTACGGTCTTTAGTGTGTGTGGACGGGTATCCCATCCAGGATGCATTGTGGGAGATTCACGCTCCCCACGTTTTTGTACTGGATAACTGGTTGAATGAAGGGTCGATGTACATTCCCTCAGGTTTTGGCGTGAGTCGTTACATCTTGCCAGAACACACCATTTTCCATTTGCAGTCTTTATCTCTGCATCACGGGTTGGCATTCGCTGCATACCATCTGCCATATAGACCTTCAGCTTAACGTTTCCGCCTCAGCAAACACACCCATGCCGCTATAATGACTGAACCTCACTGGCATCCTATGATGTTGGGGTTTGTTTATCACATGATCAGATACATGCAGGTCAAAACAGAGTCAAAATCTGCTGTAACTTTCATGAAGCACAATATATGTGATACAGCGGCATTTTTTTTTCCCTCATAGTCTAGATCAAAAATTTCTGCTATGCCATTTTCATGCATTACGTTTTTTTTTATTTTTTTAACATGACCGTGGTTCGCGTGATCATTAAAGGGAAGGATTCTACTAAGAAGCAGCATGTGGCTCAGTGGGCTGTGCCTGTAATCAGAAGGTTATGGGTTCAAACCCCGCCTTAGCATGTCTGTGGCTCCTTCAGCAAGGCCCTTAACCCCCAGCTCCCTGGGTGCCACTACAGGTGGCTGCCCTTCGTGGACAGCTTACTCTACAAAGGGCAAGTTGAGGGAGGCGTAAAAACAATTTCCCCAGGGGGATTGATGAAGTATCTATTATTATTAGAATGTCATTTTATTTGTAATTCTTTGTAGTGCAATGAAGAAAAAAACCCTGTGGATTTCCCAGCAGATGTGTATGAATTTGAAAAGTGGTCCATTCTCACAGGTGGCTGAATGGGTAGTGCTGCTGCCTCAAAACTCCACGGTTAGGGGTTCGAATCCCCCCTTTGCTCCGTGCGTGTAGTTTGCATGTTCTTCCTATGTTATTTAGACTTCCTTTTACAGCATACAGTAAGAGTAGCATCTGTTTGCAGCCCAGTTGGCTGGCATCTTGCCCAGGGCCTCTCTCATGACCCTGTGCAGGATGAGATCTTGCAAAATGGATAAAAGTTACTCCACCAGAATGATGACATTTTATTTCAGCGTGTTCCGTGGATAATTTCAGAGATTTAATCTAAGATTTTTTATTTTCAGATAGCCACCTATTATAGGTTACCTGCTTACCTGTCACTGTGACCAAGAAAGGAACCTTCCAGATACTGGGTATTTGCCCTCTTCATGTTGACTCAGTGGGGTGCTCGGTGCTTTCTTCTCCTCCCCCTACAGCCGGCGGACCTTCTGTAGAGGGAGGGGACAGCTCAGAGGGTGGAGTGTCCTTGAGGGAGGCTGGCGAGGGTCCGGCGAGGCGGAGGGGGTCGCTCGTGAGGGAGCGCTGGAGGAAGGCCATCTTGCAGCAGATCCTACTGCTGAGGATGGAGCAGGAGAACCAGAAGCTGCAAGGTGAGTGTGGAATGGATGATGGGGACAGGGATAGGATGGGGTGTGGAGATGGAGGAGTCTTCTGCGAGATCCTGCGACAGGGAGGGAGTGTCAATGTGATGGTGCTCAAGCCATGGTTCCTCAAACACCGCCAACCTCCTGAAGTCCTTGCAGATGGAGAACAATGGGTGTGGATGCGGCTATCTAAGAATCTTCCCTTGAACTGCCCCAGGCGTAGCACCCAGAAGTGAATGCCAGTAGTGATGATCGAAATGGCAATAATCTCACCCACCATGACCTCATTTCAGCCATTTATGCCAGTATACACAGGTGCAACACATATGAATGTTTTGAAGGCACTTCTGTATTCCCAGAGTTTCCCTCTGCAATCGGTAAAGTCAATCTTAATCTTAAGAGTGTCTGACGTGGATGACATTGGAGGATGGCATCACCCCCGACCTGTCCACATCTTTCCGCCGGGGCGTTCAAAGAGAGTGTCAGTGTTGGAAAGGCCTGACCGGTGACTCACCGACCCTAAAGGTGCTGTCACTATAGAGATCTTAGAGGAGATCTTACCTCGAGCAGGCAGACACAGAGGAGACAGGGAAGCAGGTCTTACCATTGGTGACGTGGGCCATAATTATCTCATCCATTTTGTAACATTTTCTTTGCTTGATTCTTAGCGATATCAGTTCTTCCTGGTGCCTGATCCCGGGGCGGCTTCCCTTTGGGTGATGGCCTCCTTTTGTGGGTGGCTGTTTTTCGTTCTAGATTTTTTTCAAGTCAAAACAATCCATTAGAAATCAGCAGAGCAGAGGGACTGCGCATCAGTGCACCTCCTGGCATCCTAGATTCTCATGCAACCAGAGTGAAAAGTACAATTTCCTGTATCGGCATTTTAGTGAAGAGCTGTTGTCTTACACCTCCTGGTTTGGTGGTTTGGTGTGTGCCGGGTGTGTTTTTTTCTAGAGTAGCCAGGAACTGTTCCAGGTGCAGATGTTTTCCATAATTCCTCTCCACTTTGGCAGGGCAGTTATGTCAGCCCTCTGGAGAACCGGAAAGCCTTGGTTCCTCAGATGTGGTCATCATCAAGTTCCTGCAGATAGAGAACAATACACGTAGATGTCTTTATCTAAGAATCTCATACTGTCCCACATCGATCTGAATGTGGCACCCAGAGATTCCTGTAGGTAGCGATGATAGAAATGACAATAATCTCACCTTCTGTGACCTTCTTTCTGTTCCTACCAGTATAACCAGGTGCACCACATATGATATAAATGTCCTTGAAGGCATCTTACAGTCACCAAGGAGGATCAGTAGGGTAAAGATAGCATCTGTCACACCCCAAAAAGCGATCAGAGGGCAGGGAGGCCTGAGACCTCCATGGAGCTAGATCCGGAAGAAGATTTGAGGTGTTTCATTGGCCATGTGCGTATTTGTTCAGACACAGCCGGTACAAGAATAGTGCACAAATCAGTAATAAATAAACAACAGAGGTGCAATGATTCACACAAAGTGCAGGTGTAAGTAATAACCGTTGATGATGTGAGTGGTTGTAGAAAGCTGTATTACTGCTGTTCATCATCTGCTCTTCAATGTTCTGGTGTTACAAACACCTCCTACTAGACTCTAGGAGTGAGAACAGCTCCTGTTCCTGTGTATTTATCACTCGATGGTTCACGTTAACATTGTAATAATGATATAAGGCTTCTGTGTATTGGTACCCCAAAGCACGTTAATTTCTTTCTTCAGTGTTGGTGTCAAATGAGTTCTATACACCCCGGTATGCTTTAAATATTCGGATTTCACCGGAACTTTCCGGAAGCCTGAACTTTGCCGGCCGTTAAGCCAGCCCTCGTGGGCTCCTAACCAACACCTTGTTCCCAAGCCTCCGAGAGCGACCTCCAGAACAAGCGGCTGAAGCTGGGTTACGAGGAGCTCACGCCGTGCTTGAAGGACGTCACCGTGGTGTGGGAGCAGATGCTGGAGACCCCAGGGAGAACCAAAGTCCAGTTTGACATAGAGAAGATCCACAGTGCCGTGTGGCAGGGTAAGGATGAGCAGAGACAGACCAGCTTTTTACCTGATGGTTTTTTACTGGTTTCAGCAAAATATTTAATATAAACAAAACTCTTGAGAGCGTGTTCCTTAGCTGTTCAGAACCTCATGCTTGGTCCACCAGTCCTAATTGTTTATAGAAACACAAAAGCCTGACTTGTTATATTCTCCGAGACAGAGCCAGAAATTTGATACTCAATTGGTTACAGCAGAAGAGCAGCAATATCTTTATTACGCACTGAAATTGCTTCTTGTGCGGTCAAGTGTCAAGTGGTGTCATTTTTCCGAAACTGGATGCAAGCCTAAACGTCGGCGGGCACGAATGCCAGAGAGCTAAAAGCCATGAGAAAGGACGAGTGACAGTCGTAACTCAAGACATGATACGAAGAGCTACAGTGAAAGCGTGGCTACTGAAAACATAACCTTCTCTGGTGTGTCACCCCTGGGCAGGTGTCCCCAGGAGCCACCGTGGCGAGATCTGGAGGTTCCTCTCTGAGCAGCACCTCCTGAGGCAGCGGATCCCCTGCCGCCACACCGGCCGGGACGCCTCCTACAGGGACCTCCTCGGGCAGATTACCTCCCAACAGCATGCCATCCTCATCGATCTAGGTGAACGGGACATGCTCTGGAACAGGGGCACCCATAAGGGGGGAGTAAGGGCCCAGACACTAGGAGGCGCCCATGAGTGTGTGAACATGGATTTTTTTAGTGGCCCAGCCATGCATTTGTGTAGCCCTGCCCAGATAGATAGACATCAACTTGGCATGACGTGATGGTCCTTAGCTGCGTGCCACATTCTACAGCTGTGATGTAGTCAAAGAACATGTTATTTAAATCTGTGTTCTGCGAATTCTGCCCTTCCGAGGAATAACGTAATTCTGCAATAAAGTTTTAAGCTATAAATGTACAGAGGTGTCTTTCCATTATCTTTAATGCGGCACTGTCTGGGTGATAAAGGATTGTTTCCCTGTCATTAGTGGATCTCGTCTTGCTTTAACATGACTGCTGGTTTAGCTTCTACAAAAATGGGCCAGCGTAATTACTCTGGGGGTGTCTCCAAATTCCTTTTTTTGTGTTTTGTTTTTCCATTTGTGCTTAAGGTCGAACTTTCCCCACGCACCCTTACTTCTCGGCCAAGCATGGCTTGGGCCAGCGCTCCCTTTACAACCTGCTGAAGGCCTACTCATTGCTGGACTCTGAGGTGGGCTACTGCCAGGGCCTGAGCTTCGTGGCCGGGGTTCTTCTGCTGCACATGGACGAGGAGGAGGCCTTCAGCATGCTCACCTTCCTGATGTACGACTTGGGGCTGCGTAGACAGTACCGGCCGGATATGATCATCCTGCAGGTGGGACCGTGTTCCTCTAGCTGCTTGAACTTTAATGGTCACTCTTGCTCTGTCTGTCAGCTATTCTCACGTTCCAGGGTCCAGAGTATGAATCTTTTAGCCTCGAGGGACCGGAGCTGTAAAAATTCCCCTTTGCTGGCCAAACTATGACCTCTATCATCTCCTCGACCCCAGATCCAGATGTACCAGCTGTCCCGGCTGCTCCATGACTACCACCGAGAGCTCTACTGCCACCTGGAGAACCACAACATCGGGCCCAGCCTGTACGCCACTCCCTGGTTCCTCACCATCTTCTCGTCGCATTTCCCCCTGGGTTTCGTGGCACGCGTCTTCGGTACGCTTTCCTCAATCACCTTTGTTTTCCGGATTTCACTTTCTCTCCCCTGCTTTGACGTCTTTTCCGTGGAAGGTGCCGACGGTCAGGTCTGACGAGCTTTCGCCTGCTCCGGGCGCCTCGGTTCTGCCGGCTGCCCATTGTTTTGATACAAAAGGTCCCATTGAAACCCTCACATACCTCACAGGTTGTGGATAAATTCTGAAATGCGATGTTGTGTGGGTCTCAAATGCGATTGTGCTGCGGTATCTCTGTCTGTTTTCATTTTGGTTTTCCAGAGAATTTGCACAGCCCTAGAAAGATACAGATCTAAAGGGAGTTTAAGTGGCACGTCCGTAAGCTCTACATGAATGCTTTTACAAAATGCGAGATATTTGTTATACAGGTACAACATGCAGTAAAATATAAATCTGCATGCTCCTGAGAGAATTTACAGAATTAAGGTTAAATTAAATTAAATATATAAGTGGGAGTATAGCTGGCTCAGAACAAAGGCTATATGGCCATTGAAAATCGAAATGAAAGTGCTTCTTTTTATCTGTTGTTTGTTCTTTCTCCAGACATGCTGTTCCTCCAGGGTTCTGAAGCTATCTTTAAGGTGGCCCTGAGCCTTCTGGGAAGTCATAAGCCACTAATCATGCAGCAAAACAGCCTGGAAGCCATAGTGGACTTCATCAAGTCCACCCTGCCCAAGCTGGGCTTGGTGCAGATGGAGAAGACCATCAATCAGGTACTGTACTCGCGACATTCTCCTCTAACACAGGAAAATGGGACCTACGTGAAGCTTAAAAGCCTCTAACAAATGAAAAGTACAATGCATTAGAAGTGCAGCTTCTGGGAAAGTGAGTGCATATTTCAGCTTAAGGTACATAAGCTACACGCTGATGAGTCAGAACATTATGGCCACCCCAACGTTGACTGGCTTGTAAAAACAGTGCATGTCAAGGTCTAGGTTATTTTAGGTGGTGCGTCAACATTTGGTGCTCGTAGTCAATGTCTTGAATGGTGAAGAAATGAGCAGGGATTAAGATCTGAATGATTTTGATCAGGGCCACTATCTCTAAAACGGCAGAGCTTGCGGGGTTGCGCACGGTCAGTTGTGGTGAGGACCTACTGAGACTGAGGAGGGACAAACCAGGAACCACCAACAGTACATATGTAGTACATATGGTGCTACAAATACGTAGATGAGACTTGTTGGTCCAACACATCCCACAGACACTCGACATGTACCCAGCTGTCCACATGTTGCAATAGATAACGGCATTCGTTGGCCCAAGTGACCATCTTCCATTACACCACAGTCCAGTTCCAATGCTTTCATGCTCACTGTGGGTGTATTCAACAGTAGACAGGGGTGAGTATGGACACTCTGACTGGCCTGCAGCTAAGCAGCCCCATATGAAGCAAGGCTCTCTGTCTTGTGTGTTGTGACATACAGTATTACTCCCATGACCGTCATCAAATGTATCTGCCATTTGTGCCCTTCTGCTGGTTTGTACCACATGAGATAGTCCTCATTCACAACTGGTAGCCCTGGCTGCCCAACATCCTGTCAGCGGTTCATGGTTTTTCCCTCCTCAGTCCCATCTCACTAGGTACTCGGCCCGACTGACCGTGAGCGACCCACAAGCCTTGGCGTTTCAGACGCTCTGACCCAGTGGTCTGGCCATAATGATTTGGCCCTTGGGGGCGGTACCTTGCTCAGGGTACCTCAGCGGTACCTTAATGGCTGGGGATTGGAACCAGCAACCTTTCAATCACAAGTGTGCTTCCCTGACCATTAGGCCACCGCTGCTGCCCCATGTCCACATGGGGGTGGACATAATGTTTTGGCTCATCAATATATAGCCCAAGTGTTAGCATAATTATAAACTTAGTGTAAACTGTGGCTTTGGATAGGTTTGTGTGGAGCAGGGGTAATGTGTAGATCTGCAGGATGCGTTTGTGACTCTGTGCCAGAGTACTGTGGATTCAAGCAGAGTACTCAGATCACTGTTGGACCCTTGAGCAGCACTCTTAAGTGTAACTGCTCCTGGGACCCAGGCCAACCTCATTCACGTGTCACTTTGAACAAGAGCCTCTGTTAAATAAATGCATCTTCTATTTATGTGGAGTGTGTGGGATCACTTGCATCACAAACAGATGTGACAGCACCCAGGGATGTTATTGCCATGTTTCTCCATGCGCGAGGTCCTTTGTGCGGATGAAGAATGCCAGAAATTTCTGAATTTTTCTTTTTGCGAAGGCAAGTTCACATTTTCAGGGTCCGTCATGCGGTAAATTTGTAGATGATCCATGCGTAATTAAACAGGTTTGTCTACTGACATAATAAACCTGTGTACCTGTCTGTCCTCATTTTTGATTCCCATCACCAATACTTGTTACACCGGCATGCTTGGTTGAAAGACCATCCACAGTGAGGCTACCAGAGGAAGGGGCTTGTATTATAAACTGAATTCAGAAAAAGAGAAACAGAACAGAGGGACCACGAGGGATCAGAAGGAACAGGGAAACACTGAGGCACCTTTCACAGGGAGCATAGGGAACATAAGGCAAACAGACTTTGACTCTTAAGGGGAACAAGCAGGAAACAAAAGCAACAACACACAGGGTACCGGCAGCAAAAACACGCAGCAAAAACACAAACAAATTCAATGAATGACTGAAGACTGAAGCATGGGTAGGCACTTATATACACAGATAATTAGAGACAGGTGGGGGCAGTTAACAATCACTCGAGACTAAGAACAGGTGTGGGCAATCAGGCCCTAATGGATCAAACACCACGGGAGACTAGAGCAACAAAGGTAACCAATCAAATCAAGGAACAGTACAGAAATACACCAGCACAAGAATAAAGCAAGAACAAAAAGGGAGCCTGAATGACACAGCCACTCGTTTAGCCCATTAAACCATGCAGCAAACTGGGCAACAGGAGAACACACTAGGCCAGGGGTGGGCAATCTTATCTACAAAGGGCCGGTGTTGCAGGTTTTCTGGGTAACCTTTAGGTCAGCTGTTCAAACCCAGGTGTGAGGACTCAATCAGTCCTCTAATTAGTGACCTAATTAGGGAGTTGCAGTGAAAACCTGCATACACAGTGACCCTTTGCGGATAAGATTGCCCACCCCTGCGCCCCACCCTGGTTCCTCACCATCTTCGCGTTACATTGCCCCCTGGGCTTTGTGGCACACGTCTTTGGGACGCTTTCCCCAAGCACCTTTGTTTTCTGTATTTCTCTTTTTCTCATTGTCTTTGACGTCTTTTCCGTGGAATGTGCCAACGGTCAGGTCTGACGAGCTTGATTGCCCACCCATATGTGTAGTAGGTAGGTAGATAGTGTTTTCTTCACAATCAAGCATAGCCGACCTAAGATTTTGCCAAGAGTTAAAACTGGGCCTAAGAGGCTCAGTTTTGATAAAATGTCAAGTTTTCAATTCATATGGCAGCATGGTATATCAGCATGGGCCTGATGAGTGTGTAAAAGTGCTGAAGTGCAGTGCAAGGAGTACAGGAATAAATACAATATACACAAAACAATAAGGATGGTGAGTTACTTACGTTATGTGGTAATGGTGGAGTAGCAGTGCTCCTGAGCTGATGTATCTGGTTCAGCTGTTCGTAAGAGTGATGGCTTTTGGCAAGAAACTGCCCTTATGCCTGTTTGCTCTGCTGCACAGTGATGTGTTGCTGAATAGATTCTTGTAATGGGGCAGGTCAGAGTTCTGCAGTGTTCGGTCGATGGATGCCAGAGAGTCGTACTTCTTAAGACTTATTGGTCTTCTCAGTTTGGGCCTGATGTCCACCGGACCTGCCTGAACCAGCCTCCACCCCAGGCTCTGCTCTCTGAACTTGTAAATAAAGAGTTAATAGTTTAGCTTGTTGGCTAAATCTGCCAGGTATTCTTAAAGTACCGCTTGAGATGTCTGATATCTCACCAAGTCGATGAATGGGCCTGAGCAGGGGCTGCACTTTGTCTCTGTGGGATCTTCCATGAGTTTCACACTACTCTGCTAGCCAGCTAAGTTAGCACATTTATTTAACCAATGAGTTCACACTGCAGCTCCTCGGTCCACTGGATTTCATTGGCCCTCACTCACCGCTGAGGCTTGGTCTCTCCCATTGCGGGCAGGTGTTGGAGATGGACCTGTCCAAGCAGCTACAGGCCTATGAGGTGGAGTATCACGTGCTGCAGGACCAACTTTTTGAAGCCCCTGCCTCACTCAGCCAGCAGCAGAAGGCAGCCCAACTGGAGAGGGCCAACCGGTGCCTGCGGCAGCAGAACCTGGACCTGCTGGAAGAGCTTCAGGTACTGGTCTCGGCTCTGCCACTTTTGCTCTCCTCCAGAACCCTAGCTCTGCTATTGCCTTACCTCCTCCTGTCCTGCAGGTGGCGCACGCCAAGCTGGACTCACTAGAGACAAACGTGGCAGAGCTCCTGAGCCGTGAGGGGAACCTGCATCAGAAGATCGGAGCTCTTGAGCTTGAGAGAGACTCCCTGCTGAAGATGGTGGCACAGCTACAGGCCGAGCACAGGGATCACGCCCCAGCCAATGGAGACCCTCTGGATGCCTAGCTGGGGCCACGTCACCAAACTGTGTCCCCAGTAACCCCAGAGGGTTCCAGAAGGTTGTGCAAACTGCTCTGTTGGTGACCAACCTACTTCTGTAGAGTAGGGGTTCCCAGCCTTCTGGTGTCCACAGACTGGTTTACATTGTACAAAAATTGCACGGACAAACGATAAAAGAATGGTCCCACAGTAAAACAAAAGGGGCATAATGTGAATGAAAATACGTGACAGATTGCGTATTTTCCTGCATCACAACAATTTATTCTTCAGTATGGGACGATCCTGCAATTTCAACTCTACCCCCAGCGTTCCACGGCCTGGTTACTGTAGATTTCACATCAGCCATGTCAGGTTGCCGAAGAATCAATGATCAACGGTGGACTGCAAAGGCAACATATGGACGGTACCTTGACCACGGCTTTGGGCTCATCCTCTGCTTTGTGCGAATATCACTATAAAGTGCCAATCTTAACAATGCAAGCACCTCTAAGTTTACATGTTGATGTATATGGTCAGATTTCGTTTTATAAATGAATAACTGCAGTGTTTGTGATACTTTCATGTTTTTTTTCCAGAGACAACAAGCCTTACAGTACAAAATACAAAATGTCCTCATCCTAATTGTGGAATTTATGCCTTAAACTGATTAGAAACACCTCTGCAGGTTTTGACAGAAATGTGCATTTTCCAGCTGCATATCCATTACATGTTTGTAGGGGAGATAGAGCTTATTCCAGGTGGCACAGGGTACAAGGTATCAAGGAGAAGATATCAGTCCATCAATGGGCATGAGATAGGGACACCCCAGACGGAAAACCAATCCATCACAAAATGCAAGACAGGGGACACTGAGGAAACCACAGGGCTCACGTACACAATTAGCCTGAATGTGTGCCTTTAGACTTCAGGAGGAAGTCGGAGTACCAGCCTGGGAGAGCATGTAGACACACAGAGCAGAGATGAGATTTGAACACCCAGCCCTGAAGGTTTAATGAGATGCAGCTACGCACTGAGCTAGAACACCCTTTCAGATCAGATCAGAGCCTCGTTCTTCAGTGGGCCATTAGAAAATAAAGCTTCATGTTCACAAGCGTCAGAACCCTTTCATGGCATTTCCCTCCAAACAGCTGGACAGAGAACTTAATCCATATGCCTAAGAACTTTTCTCCCAATAAAAAAACGTCTATGCAAAAATGGTTTCCCTAGAAATTTTTTCAGGTTTCCTGCTCCTTGCCCATTCCATTGTTCCAGCTCATCTAGTTTGGTAATAAAAAAAACTAATTTCAGTTAAATTCTGCTCTGTTGGGATAATCAGCTAACAGCTAACAGTACGTATTAAGGTGGGCAGTCTAGAGTTTAGCCGTAATGGGCACTTTTTGAGTCGTCCATGTGGAGGTCCTCTTTTAACAAGGGCAGCATCCCAATGGATGTGTGGAAAGTGAGATAAAAGCCAAAACGACACATAGCTTTCCGCGTCAGGCATATACTGAACGCCGACCGTTCGCCGTTTCATAACAGGCCCAACGCGCCTCGGTTTGTGTGGTAAATGTGCACGCCGGGAAGCCACCACCGCGCGGATAAGGGTGTAGCATGTCCAGGGTGGAGGGATTCATATGCTGGAACAATACTTGTACACCAGAATAGCTCAAGATAAATGATGAAAGATGAAAGAATGGGAGCACTCCCGCTCTGGGAATGCCAGAAAAGTCACATTTAATCCCGCTCTGTGAGAAGGACGGAGTGGTGTCTCTGAGACTAGGGATCTGTGCCCGCAACTGGAAGGTTACTGGTTCCAATCCCATGAAAGCTGATAGTGATTCTTCTCCGTTAGGCCCTTGAACAAGGCCCTTAACCTGCAATTGCTTTGTCCCAGGTATGATGTTAATCTACATCCAGCCCTACAAGGAGGTCCTCCAATTTATAGGGTCTAATTTGGGGGTTTGGTGGCAGGATTAACACCCCAGGCACTGGAAAAGAACTCACACTGGTCTATTTGGACTGGTGTGGTGCTGAGGTATCACCTGCCGCATGGCTGCACTCAGGTTCTCGTCCCTGAGGCGGTTTGTCGTGTGGTGGGTGCGGCAATGTGCTATAATCAGTGCATGATCCTTACCTGTGACCTGCTGCAGAGGAACATTTTAAGATGGTGAAAGATAGGAGTAATAGAGAGTCTTCACAGACACTGTTGCAACCGTTGCAGATTTGTGAGTCTTGCTCTTAATGTACCAAATGATTTGCATGCTAGGTGCTGCACAGCTGCACGCATTCCAGATCTGCAGCGTCTGAGCCATGACGCAGAACCAGTAAGTCAACAACGGTTTCTACCGAATTTCAACACATGGTGGAGTTTCTAAAGACTGTACAGCTCCCCCTTCAGGCCAGGGAGGAAGGTGACACCCTTGCACTGAGGGGCGAAGGGGCACTTGTATCAGATGGGGTGAGATCATGGACTGACACAGAGTCAGGCAGGACAGTAGCAGATAAGTTCTGTGTGAAATCTGACTTTATGGTGCCATAAAAAATAAAGGCTTTGTTTAAAGGTGATAGACAGGGATGTTTATCACACTGTTTGAACTGGCCTACAACTCACTGTACATTTAATAGGGAGGTAAATAAACCCACACGTTCTTTGTCCTATTGCATTCCACCTGGTAAGTAACCTGTAGAAGAAGAGAACGTAGTGAGGGTGTCATTCTGAAATGCAAATATTTAATTTATGCTATACAGTAAATCCCCCCCTGTCAACAGGAAGAATCCGCATCTGTGAACGGGCACAGAATTATTGTTGTGGCTGTTTAGAAGGCAGCCCAGTTCTGTGAGTGTTGGAGTTGAGGGCAGAGAGCCTTTTCCGGCCCATAAAATGATCCTTCTTAACATAATGGTTGGTGTCCCTGCCTGTCACTTGATAGGCCAGGGTTTGATTCCCCAAGTGGAAAGCACAAGCTTTCATGGGGGGGGGGGGGAGGTGTGGCTCAGTGGGTTAAAATACCATGCCTTTCAATGGAAAGTTACTGGTCATATATCTACAGCTACTTTGTGTCAACTGAAACACTGTATGAACATCATCCGCTTAGGCAAGAAATGCAGCGTAAAATCACCCCATTTGTTTGATAACATTTGGATAATAGAAACTGGTATCTCTGGTGTCCTATTTCAGTAAATGAAACAGCTGTGGAAACAGTCATGTCATTTTTATTTGTTTGTTCGTTTGTTTGATTGTTTGTTTGATGTATATTCAATATCGTCCTGGGGCCTGTCAAAAATCTGCCACCGGGTTTGTCATTCCAGAACTGGAACACTGTGACGTTTCCGACTGGCTTCCGTTTGCACTGCATGATAACATTTACGCCACAGTACCACCAACTTATATTTTTTTCCTTCCTCTTATCACTTTTGACAAAACTGGCTCTGCCTCTTCAGGGTTCAGGAGTTCAGGGTGACTGATTCCAAGGGACCCAGCCCCAGCTCCCAGTCCCCTTCCAGCAGAGGTGTTTGGTTTCCGTCACGTTGCCCGTTGAGCGGTTGTCGTGTCTGGCACATTCCCAAAGTACCAAGAGGATCATCATGCAGCAAGAACACTTATTGTTTGAGTGTCATTTACCCATCCAGCGAAACATCAGGAGTCACTCAAGTGCTCTGTGTTGACTTACACCTGTGTGTGACAGGCATGCTGGGTAAACTGACGGCGTAACTGTAAGCGAGTTTTTGCTCCCGGAGCTTATCCAGAAACCTCCGGAGAACTCGACGCCCCTATACGCTTCGTTTGATAAGCACGCTTGGTTTGGCGGCTGTCAGCTAAATCCAAGATGGGAACACGAATGCCGTCATCGAGGCCAACTTTGCCAGGACCTTTTCCATTAATTTAACCAATGGTTCCAGGATCTTTTCCATTAATTTAACCAACGGTTCCAGGACCTTTTCCATTAATTTAACCAACGGTTCCAGGACCTTTTCCATTAATTTAACCAACGGTTCCAGGACCTTTTCCATTAATTTAACCAACGGTTGTTTTCTAGCACCTCCTGGGACTTGCTAAGATCGTTTCCATTTGTGGAAAGGGCTCACGTTGCTTCTGCAGCTCCTGTTCCTGAATCTCTGGCCTGCTCATGAACGAATCACACCTGTCTTTAAGATTACAGCGTAAGCCTGGTATGCAGAAGTTGATGATCTTGTTATCGGTGATGATTAAACTATATTGAAGCTATGATATGAATTTGAATGGTCACAAAGTGCACTCAGGGTTCTCTGAGGCAGGTTTTATTGCTGCAGGATTGAGGTGAGGACCATCAAGTCCATGCTGACGGCTTTTTTTGCTGGACAGGATTCCACAGGACCCCGGGACGGCGATTAGATGTGAGGTTTCGGAATAAGCCGCGTTGGAGGATGACTCAAACGTGGGTGGGTGGTTGAGCTGGGGGCCAAAGCAAAACCAAGACGAACACCAAACAAACAGATTACAAAACGACACGAACACAAGGTAGACCAAACAAGAACTTATGGAGCAGCAAGACTGAGCCAGTTGCAAAGCCCTCTGCTGCGACATGTCAAGCCTGCGACTCCTGGTGTTCATCAAGTCCCAGGTGACATGAGTTTGACACATCACTGAAGAGCAAATTTACACAATTCACTCAGTCCATGTGGTAGGTTCTTGTGAAAATTAGTGAGTTTTGGAAATTTAACTAAAATTTTACATTGGACTTGCAGAATTTTGGTTCCCAGTAATGTAACATATTAGAATTAGAATTAGAATTAGAATTAGAATTAAAATTAGAATTCGAATTAGATTGATTTTATTGATCCCAGACAGAAATTCTTGAAGCCATCACAAAAACAATAAAAATTAGACTGAGTTCAGGAAATTTGTTCTTCAATTCACAAGTATGTTGTTAAATTTACGTAAAGGCATAATTTGACACTGTACTAAAAATGCATTACATGCCCAGAGGGTGCAACACCTGTCATTTTAAGTGAGTGATAAACTCCCGTGATTGTGACCGGGATTAACGGTTGGAAGATGTTTTCACTGTTGCTGCTTATCGTCATGGCGATCTGGAGAGCACCATCGCTTCCCACGTCTCCGGGTTTGGGGCTTTGACTCCCACACCCAGCTCATTATTTACTTCAGTTTCCTCCCAAGTTTAGATGAAATGCAAAGCTTTGCATTGCCCGCAATGTGCGCTTGTGTTTGTAGAACATTCATTGAGCAGCATGTAAGCATCCCTTAACATTCTAAGACACCTTAACATTCATTAATAACAAACGTTATAATCATGTAATCATCCATTTTCTGAGAATGTCACCCTCATCGGGGTCACAGGGGGCCCAGAGACTATGGGCACTACCCAGGATGGGATGCCAACCCATCACAGGGCACACTCACACCTCCAAGCAATTTGGTAACTTCCAACAGCCTCAGCATGTTTTTGGATTGTGGAGGGGGGGTGGACACCAGAGCACCCAGAGAAAACCCCACGACAACATGGGGAGAACATGCAAGCTCCATCCCTATGGAACCCTGGCAGAGACTCAAACCCGGGTCCCAGAGGTGTGAGGCATCAGCGCTAACCACTGCACCACCCCATAATCACGCAGTGATTGTGATTAATGTATATTACTTAAATGCTGATTATGAATTCTCTATGAATGCATTATGAAGGTGCAGCAGTCAATGTAAAGTGCTACCAATTATTATATTACACTATGATTAATGGCTAAATGAACTCAGCACAAACACCGCTACCTTTTTACATTTGATTTGCATTCTGGTTAGATTCATTTACCGTCTTTGCCCACATGTCCTATGTAGGGGGAGAGGGGTCTAAACATACCCCAGAGAGGCACCAGCACCAACTGGGCGAAACCAGAGAACAAACCTAGAACGACACAGGGAGAACATGGAACATGGAAGCTACACACACGGAACTAGGGAGAGGAGTGGTGCAGCAGTGCTGAGCACTGCACCACCATGCCGAGCACTGCTGAGCACTGCACCACCATGCCGAGCACTGCTGAGCACTGCACCACCATGCCATCCTGGAATTGTTCTGTTTTTTTTAAAAAAAATAATCCAAAACATATTTTGCATCTTTTTTTCATCTGTTTTTTTTTCACTTGATTGGGAATCTGTGACAGAACAGGACACAGTTGCAGAATAAATTAAAATTAATAAATCACATTGTTATCATTTGACTTTA